GTAAATATGGAAATAGAAATGATAACAAAAACCATCACAAATGATTAATCGTTTTCATTTCAACATTCGGAGTTATTTTTTAGTTATTCTTAAAAGTAAGACTATATTGTGTATAATTATGTACTAGTTTTAGATGATGTGATTTTTTATCATGCTTACCATAGTTTGTATAATGGCATCGTGGTTGAACTACTTCCTAATAATACTTATTTTTATCACATGACTGTAATTTTTATTTATTTTTAATCCAAAGACGATAATATAAATAAATACAAATGAGTTTGTATTGCTTGTCATAGTAATTTTTTGAAAACCCAAATACTCGATTAGTGTACACAGTCAACTGTGTAAAAAAATCAATTAATTCCGATTTCAGCTTATTACATTTAAACGCTATAACGATTAATATGTATAAACATAATATCAGATAAAATAATTTTACCTTTTTACAGTACAACAAAAATAATATACAATATATAGAAATATACAATGAACACATATTTATATTTGACTATAAAACTCATCAAGTATTACCGGATGTTGCTAAAAAACAACAGTAGTTAATTCAAGTAATAAAAAACTAGTTTGAAAATTAGTTGCTAAAATATTCTTCTATAGATTCATTTTAATACCTTCATAAAATAGGCACGTGGAATATACTAAACAACAAGTACTGCTATTGTACTAAAATAAATACGTATGGGTTCTATCGAAGAATATAAAAATGTTATGTTAATTACTACAAGTTCAAATCTCAATCCAATAATGGTTACAATAAAGTGTACAATACGTGACCTAAGGTCACAAGATAAAGTAGATTGCAATCGATATGAGTGACTGTAATAGTGATTTTGGATAATATTATTTACTTGTTAATTCATTTGAGGATTGGCGTTTCCAAAAAAGGTCAAGAGTATGGTTAGACATTATTAGTGTTGATGACCTCAATAAAAAATTTTCATACTCTTAGTTAAACACTCATGTAATATTGTCAGTGACATCGGTGCAGACTTTGGGTGATACACTCAAAGTCGGTAAAAATATCAGAGTATCATTTAAATTTATTTAATCGATTCATAGTAATTTAATTAAAGACACTTTCAAAAAACTACAAAATTGTCAAATTTAATAGTATTCATTATTAGATTGTTATTACAAAAGTACCATAAAGTTCAATTAGTTTCTACTAGAATACAGTTTTTTTTATATACAGATTATATACATATTAAGAGTTAGTAAATTGAGAATTCTACAAAAAATACATATCGTAGAAATTTGATGCACCAAATAAAAGTTTTTTTAAATATTTATAATGAGAAGTTACTAAAATAATTTACTAATATAATGGAGATGATTATTTTGTATTTATTCAAATTGAGATAGAAACAACAAATAAACTGTTATTCTCTTACTAATTTTATGTATAAAAAAAAATTTATATTGCAAACTTTCCTTATCTAATTGATCTATAAAATGTTAAATAACTAAGAAATATTCCAAAATATAAATGAGATTCAGTCTATTCGTCTGATCTACGTACCTAAAATAACTCATGAAAACCAAGTTCGCCAAAAAATAATCTGTGGCTTTTTGTTCTATATGATCATTCAAAAGGAAATTTCAAATATCTCTTTAATCACTCCTTCCCACCCCAAAAAAACTATAACCTCAGTAAAAAGACATTACTAAGTACCTTGGCAATTAATAAAAATATATAGATGATATTATTCGGAATAAGGTAAACTAATTAATGTTAACACGTATTCCACGACCAATTAAAAATGATTTGACGTGAATTTAAAATTACTCAAAAACTGCATATTTAATTAATTTGATACATTAATTAATCATTTACTAATTAAACGATCGTAATAATAAGTCGAAGAGAAAAAAATTTAAGATAAATCTTATTTTGGAGCGTCTGTTAACTTTCTTTATGGTTCTCTTATTATGATATATTAAACTCTATACAAAGTGATTTTTTTTATCCTAATTCACTATAGGTTATAATTAAAAAATCATTTAGTATACCGATTATCTTGTGGAGTTTATAGTTTAGTCAAATAATCTTGACTTATTTTAAAAAATATTTCCCAATTTTATAATAACTCTGAAATATTTTTATCTTTTATTCTAATAATCATACTTAATTAATTTTTTAAAACAGGCGTTTGTATTTTTTTGTATTTATAAAAGTTGATAATCATTATTCAGGGAGTAATGTTCTCTTAAATGAGGTGTCTTCGGCGGCTAAGTTAATCACTGTCATTTTTCATTCGACAAACAGATTATGAGTACCGACTTCAATTTGTTCGAGAACCACCTCTTCTGAACTATGCAAATGCCTAGTACTCTCATTATTTCAAAAACAGCTTTGTCGGTTACCAAGCAATTAATAATCTCAAAGTTAACATATGCCTAGTTTACATTATTTTATGAGTGTATATTTGGAAATATTTGAACGATTGTAGTTCTTTGTGTATCATTTTCAGAAGTTAATACTTATTCATTTTTTTTGTAAGCAGACAATTATCAGCGCGTTAAAGTTTACAGTAAAAATCATCAGATATCTTAACAAAGTCAGTTAAATATATTGATACTTAGATAGGTAACTTCCTATATATTGAGTTAGGTATAAATATTTTATATGGGGTGTTCAGTAAGTAAGAAAACGAGTTTTCATTGTTCTCATTGTTTGTAACAATTTGACATGTTTCCTTACTTACTTAACACAGTGTAAATACTTGATACTAAACAAGTAAGAAGAGAAAGTTAAACGAAAACTAAGGAAATATTCTATAACTGTTATAACCTTTTAAATTGCTTAGGATGTTTTACGAATATGATGTTAGAACAACAAGAAACCTAGTAGCGTTTTTATGGTTTGTTTAAACTTTATTATGTTTTTTATATGCAGATTGCATAACACATACAGTTTTAAAACACCCTTTTAAACTTTGTACAGTTATAACAAATGTGCTCTCGGTGTAGTTAATTATAACAAGCAAACAATGATTTTATGACTTCATTTAATTATTAATTCATAAACCGCGTGTAGTTGCGGGTAATGTCTTTTAAAATAATTGATGGACAGTTATTGTCGATGGTTGCTACAAAACATCGGAATTACTGCATCGTTGGTGGCCAATTGAGTTTCAATCTCGTTTTAAATTTAAATTGTTTGACACCAAAAGAAAAGTTACTACAAACTACAAAATATTCCAATGGCCTACAATAACACTTAATAAAACTACAGTGAACAATAAATATAATTATGTACAAGAATTTATTCTTTAAAACAAAATTTGTGTCTAAAATAAAAATTAAGTGTCATCGTATTTTAGTTGTTTTTTTTACATTTTGATGTTACAACATCAAAAAGTCGTATGCCATTAATACCGAATGAATAATTTACAGTAAATACAATATAATAATAGTGTTATTAAGTAAGCATAGTGTTTGGATGAATTAATTTTTCGCTTTGCACATTTTCGTCTAGAGATTTCTCAGTTAAATTATACAAAATTTTTTTTTTTTAATTTAATGATGAAATCGGTAGATAACTATTATAATAGTCGATAGCTAACACACAAACATTTAATAAGCATTAATTAATTTCTAGACTCTTAAAGAAACCATAAATTTAATTACATGTACAATTTATTTTCTCTCCGTGCAGTTGTTTTAACAAAAATGTTCGTCGATGCATATGATTTACGTCTTTATTTGTACTTCAGTGTCTACTCTGTATAATACAAGTTGTCTGTGCTTTGACAATGTATCATAAATTCTCTAATCAATCGGATAAGCAAAATGTTACGAGTAATTTAGTAATTAAGAAACATTTGTACTGAAAGACAACGTTATTCGTTCAATAAAGTCCTAAAAAATACTTAGTGGTGTTTTACTACGTTTTATGAATGAAGAACGCGTACATTTCAAACGGCGTGCGGTCTCGTCTATCGAGTGAGTGCGATTCGTTTAAATAATTGAATGGTATCACCTGGGCCTTAATAATAATAATCATGGGAACTCTGTACACTATCATTACAGTTTCGCTGTCCGTGAATTGTTCAATTGTTAATTATCAGAATTATCTATACGACCGGAGAATGATGCGCACTCTAAGCAAGCGCGTTGTCATTCATAAACCGTTCTGGAGTATTATTAAAAAACTGCGGATACCCTATAATCATCAGCAGCGGCAAAACAATTTCTTTCCGTTGGTCTCTATCTCTCTCTCTCACCATCGGATATCGCAGGGTGACGTGTGTTCGGTTGTAAGTCAGTATCTCAGCATCGGGTCGCTCCAGCGGGACGATTCAAAATCCCCAGGACGTATAGACGGGACGCTGAAAATATGACTGGTGTCTGGACGGGCTGCACAATAGGGTTGCGTCCCGAGAGGTCCCGGGAACGAACACCTGTGCACCGGATGTTGCAGCAAAGACGACGACGGCAGAGTTGACGTCACCCGGGCGCGGGCAAGGTGTGCCGCGGTGGACCGGTCCGCGGGCACCGGAGGTACCTGTCACTGAAGACCGGGCGTCATAAAAAACTGTTGGGAAACCGAGTCGCTACCCGCCTCTCACTGTTTTTCGCGCTTTCATCAATAACGACCTCAACACAGTGTTATGACACTAATACAATTTTTATACAAAACACTTAAAATTATCATACAATGCAATTATTATGTTTAAAAGTAAAAAACATAACATTTAAAAATGTTATGTTATAAAAACCGATGAAATAATTTATGTACTGTAAAATACCAACAAATAGGTATCAATCCTCTCAAATTTTAAACGAGTTCCTATAAACTCAATTTATTATTTTATTAGTCATTAAAGTTATTTTAGACTGTAGATTTTTACGCAATTTTCAATGATACATTTTATTTTATAAATTATTGATATATTTATTTTATAAATTAGCGAAAAGAAACAATTAATGTCTATTGTTAACATTTCAAAGACTAATAAAAATGCTTCAATATTTTATTAGATGTGTTTGTGTTTGTATAATATATAAATATTCATCTGTTTAAATATTCACAATATATATTTTCGTGTTATTAAAAAAAAAAAAACAATCATTAAATTATTAATTTTTTTGGTAGCATAACATTGAAAACATTTTTAAATGGATGAATAAGGTAAATATCAGTATTATTTAAAAGCTTATTTAAGTACTTGACGAATACTTCCCCACTATAGATGCTCTCTTTTAAATATGTGTGTAATGTATTATGAACATTTAACTCTTCTGTATTATCGATATAAGCTGAATGACTTATCAAATTCGAAATTTCTGTAGAATTCAGATTTTTGATTGGTTCAATTTGTTTATTAATATTTTCTAACTGTTTGTAATATTTATTAATCGAATGCGTTATTAATAACTGAAACTGTTCCAGTTCTCTTATACTTGAAATGTTGTGATAAGAATCAAAAAATGAGTCAGCAATATTTTTAACATCAATTATATATGAATCGCTAAAAGGTTTTAGTAATTCGATGTAACTATTAAGAATTTGGGACATTTTTTGACTATATATTTTGATATCCTCAAATGATTTCATATAAAATAAGTGACGATCAAAGATTCGGAGTATAATAGTATTTGTAAAGAATATAAAATGTTTTTGCAACATTATAATATTAGCAGCTTTATTGATTAGTGTGTCATCATCATTTTTTCCTTGTGCATATTTACCCACTGAGACTTTGTAAATAAACTTTTCAAACCTATTAGTGTTATCAAAGAATTTTGTAAAATTGTTGAGTAATAGATTTGCATTTTCCATAATATTATTCAAAAATAAATTTGACATGTAGTATGGAATATAGAGCATTATTTCTTCACCTAATGAATCCATAATTTGAAACACTACGTATTGTATTGAAGCTATCGATTCGCTTGCACATTGCAAATAATAGTCATATTCATCATATAAATCCATCATTGTTTTGTACTCTTTAAAAGATATCATGTTCAAATTATTTTTATAATTTACAAATTTGTTGCATTTTTTTGTATAAATAGCATTATTTAGTGAGATTGTCATTGTGTCATGTATTACTAATAAACATTTAAATCTAATGTCATCGCATGGAATCGCCTGAGATCTAAATTTTTGAAGTCTATCCATAAATAAATAATAAGTCCAAAATACATCTAAGTCATCACAAAACGAATCGTCTACGTTGCACATGCCACGAATACTTGCTATTATATAAAGCGCTTCGTTTTTAAAGTCAATAATGTCCTTATGGACATTTAATATTTTACCTGAAATTTTCATTTGAATGTTGACATGAAACAAAAACTCGCAAGTTATTTTTTCGTGGATTTGGTATTCATTATTTATCTTAGGTATATAATTTAGGCAAATCGATTCTAACATTTTTCGGTTTTGTGTTTGACTTCCGAATTGTATACACAAGTTTGCTATCAACGCTAATAAAAGAAATTTATATAAATACATTTTTACGTTTTAAACGATTCTCTTTATTACTTTTTAATTATATAATCGACTTTATTAAAAAAATATTAACACTTATTTCATTTAATGAAAAGACACGATTTTTTAAGCGTATCTGTTTAAAAATAAGTTATTTTTCAAATTTTATATTTTTCTAAAAGAACAAGGAATGTGCACTGTGTATATATTTTGTGTATTTATAATTTAAATTTAATGGCGAATTATTTGTCATCACAAAATAAAACTGTTGCTTAAATATACTTAAAACGTAATATTAAAAATAATTATAATATTGTAATTTACATTTTGATATTAATAATGTTCTAATGTTAATAGAATATTTATAATTTGTTATTGAGACACTACTACTATTTAAATGTACTTCAATTTCATTCAAAATTTTTATTAAATATTTCACAAATACGTCATTACTAATGTAATTTTTTTGATAGAACTTTATACATTTAGTTTGTTAGTATTGTTTGATGTAAGTAAGGGTCAAATTATATATACATATATTGTTAAAAAGTATTGTGATATCATGTTCTACGGTAATATTACGATTATTTTAAGACTTTTTTATGAACGAGATAGAAGAACGTCAATTCCATCGAATTTTTTCATTAAATATTTGGTAAATACTTCTGACCCAGATACTCTTCTGGTGATTGAACACTCTTTATCCAATTTTGTGATGTCTAACATTTCTGCATTATTTTATAAGTATGAACGTATTATTAATTAATAAATATCTCCGTAAGCTTAACTGATGTATATATTTTACTATAAAATCCACTCCTTTTATTTATATTATGTAATATTTCACACTATCTTATTGGTAAATACTTTGCAAATTGTTTTAGATGATTGAAATGGTCAAGTCTGAACATAACAGTTAAACATTTAAAGTTAAACTTTTTAGCTTAACGAAGATTTTTTAATTTTACATAATTTGAATTAAATTAAATTTTAACTGAATTTATTTAAAAAAATAACGTACTAAATTTAACTGTTAACTTTTAAAATTTAACTTAATTTTAATAAATTAAAAAAAATATATTAACTTACCAGACTTAGAAATGATCTTATAAGTCTTGTTACTTGTCTTATATAAGTTTGGTTGTATGAATTGAATAACTAAATAAAATAAATGAGGAATGTTTTCATTTTTTCTTAATATTCTTGTCTGGGTTTTTAACCAATTGAAACAGATATTTTTCGACAACCCTTTGTATTATAATACTTGTTCTAGTACTGTGATAAAGAGTCGGTGATTTTCACTAATATTATATGAATCTAATCTATATTGAATATAAAAATCACACTTATTTGATATTTTTTAATAATAGCCTCCCACCAGTGGAGAAACCCGACTTCTAAAATTTAAACTACCTTAAATAGATTTTAGCTAGTTAAATAGATTCGTAAATACAGCTAGTGGCTCTATCTATCGTTCACTTCCATCGAAAATTTTCGTCCTAACCAAAACATACGCAAATGCTGTCTAAATTATACGATGTTCAGTCGCTGTTTATTACAGCCAATGTAATACAGAATAGTTTATCCTTTGCTTACTCAAAGCTTTTTTAAACTTTACGGTAAATTAAAACTACTGTTCATTTTAATACCATCGTTAATTCTTTCTTAATACCAATTGTTTGTCAAATTAAATCAAATTGATAAAAATCGATTTGAAGCACTTACCGATTTTTTCTTTTTGATCCCTTCAGAGATTTATTATATTTATTTATTAATATTAATTATATTTAATTATTCAGGGATTATTTATTTTTCAGTAATGTTAATATTAAAACCGTTCAAGTGATACATGTACATTAACTATTGGAAATTTTAAAATATTATGATGTCAAATTAATAAAAGTATCTATATGTTAAAATGAATTAAAATATTGAGAATTTTAATGAAAAATGGGAATAATAAATATCTTTTTCTTTATTTTTTTTTTAAACAACATTAATTATTTATAATTAATACATTCAGTTGGTTACTAGATCTGAATGTGTAAACATTTCTGTGTACCTTTCCACTACTTTCTAATAATTTTTAAATATTTTACCATTATTTTAGCTATTTGCAAATAAATATCTCGCAAAGAATTGATTGCACTATACATTGTATAATGTGCAATGCCGGATTTCTTAGTAATACAATAAACTAATGTTTTAGGCGGCAATTTTTTAGAGGCTACTGATTGTTAAATTCGAAAAATAGCTTTTAATATTGAGTTATTTTTTACATATGTAACTAGAAGTAAAAGAAATGCTAATTATTGTTATTAAATGTTTATAGACCAACAATTGGATTATTTGTACACTAATATCTAGTAAATAAAATGGACTTCGATGTCACATTAAAAAAATTTGGGACTTCATAGTCACGAAAAATACTATTGAGTACTAGTACTAGCTTTTTAATCTGTAACATCTTTTATTATTATATTTTATACTGTTTAGTTTTAAAATTAAATATAATAATTGTACAAATGATTAATTTTAAGTAAAATCATAGATTTAACTTCAGTAACTACTCTTAAAATTTCTCTACAAATAAATCATATTAAATGTTATTTAAATAATAACATTATATAAATTTCTGGTGTTGTTATTGCTTTCAAAATGATACAATTTTTAGTAGATAATGCTGCGAAAGATATAAAAAAGAAATAAACTTAATATTAAGTCAATAAATAAGATATAATTTTGTTTACAAAGAAAATATTAAAGTAAAAATAATACAATAAAACTAACAATGTAAATAAATAACATTAATAAACTATACAAAAATACTTACAATACAAGCTAATAATAAAGAAAAAATAATTAAAAAATCATTGAAAATGCTTTATAATAAATTGCAACTATTTTTAATCTAAATATTCTACATACGCCAGAGGGAAATAGTATTTTAGAATTTCCTTTTTTGATTAGTTTATAATATTGTATTTGGATCAAATCATAATTTTAATAGAAAAGTGTAACTCTTATAATTATTATCAAGGTTTAGTGAACATTTCTAGTAATATTTTTATTATTTAGTTATAAACATTAATTTTTTTTATGGTACAATTCATGATATTTATTTATTTATTTAACTATAAATTGTTATACAATTGTAAAATAATTTTCCTGGATGGTTGGTTCATTATTTTTGTATGAGGTGTATTCAGAAAATAACGGAAATTTTTAAATTTCACGGGTTTGGAAAATCGAATTATCAAAATATATTTTTCATGTTGGTACACATGTCCCTGAAGTATGATACAATTTTCAGCTGGATTCATTTTTTACTTTGTCGGTGTAGCGGTTAAGGTTAGACGCGTTTTTATGAGCTCGACGATTTTCGTTTTTTAAAAAAAATGGATCAAAGGATTAGCATTAAATTTTGCGTAAATATGAAATAAAATGAAACAAAGTGTGTGATGTGTTAACAAATGAGTCTGGTGAGTCTCCTATGAGTAAAACAAGGATTTTCCAGGTGGTATAAGCGTTTCCAAGATGGCCGTGAAGACATTGAAGATGACGAACGCCTCGGACGGCTTCAGAACATCAACTACCGATAAAAATGTGGAAAAAGTGAAAGAAATGGTTATGAACGATCGTCGAATCATAATCAGAGAACTTGTTGATGATGTTAGAATATCAAATGGCCTATGTCATAAAATGTTTTCGAATGTTTTGGGGACGAAATGCGTAACAGTAAAATGTGTTCCAAAAGTGGCGACGAATGGAAATTGCTCAGTAGTCACTTAATGAAGTCAACGACGATTCAGAATTAATAAAACGTGTTATAACAGGTGACAAAACATGGGTTTATGGATACAACGTCGAAACTAAGGTTCAATCGTCCCAGCGGAGACACTCTGGATCGCCAAGACCGAAAATGTCTCGGCAAGTGTGATCAAATGTGAAGGATATGCTCACTGTGTTCTTTTGTTGTAATGACATAGTGCACCATGAATTCTTGCCACGAAGACAGTAAAAAGATTTACTTAAATGTTCAACGCCGTTTGCGTAAAGCAATCCGAAAAAAACCCGGATTTGTGGTAAAAAAATTCATGGCTTTTGCACTACGATAATTCTCACACTTAATTCATACTTTATTGCTTGTTCGTGAATTTTTGGCCAAAAACAATACGATGCCCCAGCCTCTATATTGTCAGACATGGCTCCGAGTGACTTTTTTCTATTACGAAAAATAAAAAGAACCTTAAAGTGCCGTCGTTTTACACTTTGACTTTGAATTTGTAGAAAAAGGATTTTTAAGTCATTTTTCTATTTATTTCATATTTAATAAATATTATAGTTGTCATATATGCATTAATTGGGGTAGATTATTAAATAACTTTTTGTTTTTACATTATGTTTGTTATTTTTAAATGTTATGTTTAGTTTATTTAGTATACAAATACGTTCTGTCGATTTTTTTCAAATATGTTTATATATTATACAAAATATTTTGATATATTTAATCAAGTTTATTTATATGTAACTTTTGTATTAACTTTGGCTTTATAATCAGATTACTGTTCAAATATACTTTTTTCGCTTTGAACATAATTTTTTATGTCCACAAATAGTTTATATCAGTATACGATTTTGCATTTGCATATAGTAATATATTTTGTATATTTTATCAAGGAATGTTTGATAAGTTATACATAAATTTTAATGCTATAATAAGTATTTAAGTTTGTACATTCATTATAAGAATAGTACAGTATTATTAATCGTATTTATTTCATATATGATATTTAAGTCAATGATTTTATCGTAAAAATTGGGATCTATTATTATAACTATGCTGTCCAACGTCAAATCACAGTAACCAATATTCTAATAAAATTGAATTTTTTACATACTCCCAGGAATAATAACCTGCCGAATATTTTTGTAATTATTTATATAATATTAATACAATTATTATAATTAGAATATTAATAATTATTGTATATACCAGAGGCGTATTTTAAGGGAATATGGCCGATTGTCACCCTTGAATTACCACTATCAATAATTTTTTAGGCAACTTCTAAAAAATATGGATCTAATGATTTTTTTGATCATCACTTTGATTTTTAGCAAAAAAAATTCTTTAGCATGTCTATCAAAGTAAAAAAAAATTAAATACCCTCCTAAAATAATTTATGAATATACCCAAGGGAGATACCTCATGAATAAACGTCAACCTTATACCCAATGCAGTTTACTATATTCTCTTTTTGAATTTTCCCGATTTTAATAATTAAATTTTTAATATATTTTTGTTACACTGATACTGATGTATTATTTTTCCTGCAAAACACTTATCGTGCCCGGCGTAGCCCGTTACTCTTACCGGAATCAGTAGCCCACTTATGAGGATAGCCCAATACTGGCTAACTCGCCGAAGGCTCATGAGGTTCGTAGGGTCCCAGGTCTGGGGCGTAGCCCCACCTAATTATATGATATTGTTCGATGACTTGTCATGTATACTGTGTTAAGTGTTACATGTTCAGAAGTTGTACTTTTTTATCAATTAAATTGTATTTTTTATTTTATATATGACAAGAATAGTTATAAAAAAAGTTGCAATATTAATTATCGTTATGTATAATAAAAATTAAATTATATAATATGTCGAAATAGGACACTCATTTCCTCAGAAATTATTGAAAATTTTCCTAAAGAAAAATATTGTTTGATTCAAAAAACTATTATAATGTAGTTATTAAATTTTTCATCCCTTAAAAAATAAAAAACTTTAATTTCCTTTAATTTCTATATCAACAAATTAAAAATAGGGGTTATTTTTAATTTGTTGATATAGAAAAGAAATTTTCAAAAAAAAATTGTTTTTATAACTCTTTTTATCCTATCAACCATTTGCGTTTAAAAATTGTTTAAAAATTTGGATTTAAAATACTAATTCATTATTAATTTTGCTTATAATACCAAAGACAGCTTTCAAAGGGTTATAAATAATATATGTATGATCAAAAGAATTTCCATACTAGTCGTTCAACAATAAAGGATAGTAAACTTGTGTTTAATATAAAAGTGTACATCTATTAATGCATATGAACTATTTAAAATAAGAGATCTGTTCAATAGACAATATCGAATTGTACCCGTGATGACTACTGTATCCTACACAGCAAATTATCAATAGAAAATGTGAAAAATCGCTGAACTTGAGTAAACAAAATAGTATATTGAAAATGTATTTATCATCAAACTAAAAATAGAAGTTCCTATTAATGTTAAATAACATAATAACAAGTTTAATGAAAGTTAAAGTGTAGGTACTTTATTCCTGTAGAGATAAAAAAAATTATTTAACTGCATATTATTATAGAGTTTTTTGATTCAAACAATATTTTCTTTAACGAAAGTTTAAAATTTCCAATAGTTTCCAAAATAATGAATATATTATTCATAATTAATCAATCTCTACCCTTATACCCTGTATAGCTTTAATGTTGCGTGTAATACATAAACAATCTATCATGGAAAGTATATGACATTTCTACTCATGTTAAATAAGGGCGCCAATGATGTTAGCTCATCACTAGGTACAGCTATGCGCGCCATCTTCTAGTCTCTTTTATATTGCTTACTTACATAATGGAATGCTTACATGGTATCATGTTTCATTGGTTTTTTTTCAGGTCGGTTATATCAAACATTAGATTTTATGAGCTCTGAAACTATTAAATATACCTCGATGTTTTGTCTACAGACCATAATTGTTGTCCAGTAAAGGACACTCTTTTGTCGACATAACCAGAGGTCATCGAGTCCACGTATTTTTTTATCAATGCAAGACAATAGAGAATATAATATCTTTGACACTATAACCTTTTTACCACCTCAAAGCTAAAAGAAATAAATACCTAATATATTGCGTTTTTTTCATTTATGATAAATTGCTAGTCTAAGTGTTGTTGTTCATGATTTTCATATAATCTCAAGGTTTGGCTGACAATAACAAAAACTTCTAAAAATATTGTTTTTAGTCAAAAGATGTTCCATGAGAAATAATATATAAAAGCAATTGATTATTTACTAATTGTTTTTTTAGTTATGTATTGAATCATTATTTAAAATATAATATTATGAACAATTAATGTTTTTTTAAGAACTGTTTTAAAAACTGACCTAATTTATCATTTATACATATTAAAGTATAATTTTTTTAATGTCAAGTTTTATTAATAACTTATATTGATAAAATACTTATTATGGTAAATAATATTGAAATCTTTTGAGATTTTTGAGATTTTATTTTCTATGGATCGCTTAGTTTACATGGTGATTGCATAACAACAGAGTTATTAGACCACCCAAAGTTAGCGTCGAGAATCAGCTACTGAGATCAAGTTATAAAATATTTTATGAGTTTCATTAAAGCTTAAGATCACGCATAATAAAACACAATGTTTTAATATATTTATAATATTTTTAAAACATTAAAACAATTAATAATGATTTGGAATCCAAAACAACTTAAGTCTTTTTAAGTTTTACATTGTATTTGTATTTATGTAAAAATATTAAATTAAAATAAATACATAAGATACAAGCAGTTATGTTTTAACGTATACCATTTTAACAACAAACTTTTTCACTAATGATAATTGTTTACACTGTAATAAGTTTTTATATTAATAACTGTTTATCTTTTTATCTTTAAATGTCGTATTCATATTACAACATTAATTTTTACCGGAGATCTATATCAGAAGTATAACTTGGTTAAGTTGGGCTAAGCTAATCATTTATATCAATAAAGGAGATATTAATATGTTTAACTCTAAGTATTTCTTTAGAAAAATGTTTGTAGTCTGTATTTATAGAGAAGTATTTTTGCTTGTGATTAGTTGTAATGTTTTTCGGGGTGGTCATATAGCATATTCCAGTCGGCAAGTTTCTCGAATATTTTTGTTGATTGTAATTAAAAAAAATACATCCTTTTGAATATAAGAAAATTGTACAACTAACAAAACCTCTAGAATATGATAATTTCGGTAATAATTCATCGTTTGTGTATATTATAATGTATTTTAATAAGTCATGTTTAGCTTGTTACAAGGTTATTCAAACTACTAATTGATGTAAGTTCTTTGACGTATTCGGGAGCCCACAGGAGTCGAAAATAGTAAGTCGATTTAACCTAATTTGAGAGCTGCTGCTGCTCGATGGGTTTTAATCGTTTTGTGACGCTGATGAGTTTTGAATCGCAAAGAAAGAGCTAACAAGCCATATTGTCGGTCATTGTTGTAAGTAATGATAATGTATTGTCTTATAATATACAAAAAAGGAAATGCGGGTTAAGTTTACCGGGTGACAAAATATTGAAAGAGTGAGTTCATTAAAAACAAGACGACCACACATACCGCTCGGATAGTGAACTATTTAAGATCGAAGAGTAGAATAAAATTACTAGATAGCAATGTGTAGGTATAAGATTTTTGCAAACCAAAAAAACTATAAGAAAATAACAAATCAAAAAAAAATTTCACTAAAAGTCATGTATTTTGTTGATTTTTCATTGTTCATGTTTAATTTTTTGAATCAAAATTCAATGAAAATTATTTTTTTAAAAATTATAAAAAATGTTTAGAAAATTTTGTACTGGAGAATCTATTAAAAAGAAATTTTGAATGCTTATAAACTAAAAATCTTAGGTTTTGTGATACCACCTTAAGGTATTCGATATTCAAATATCCGAGGATGTCTAAAGAACGTCGTATGAACACAAATAGATTCAATGAGTAATGAATACATTAGATCCATAAAAACATAATATGTTAGAGTAAACTATTTATTATACTGANAATATGTTAGAGTAAACTATTTATTATACTGATTTTTATATAACTTTACTAGAGCATATATAATGTTACTCAAGAAACAAGACAGGAGTTTGTTTTTTGTCTACCAAAACGTTTTAGTTTTATAAAATAATATGTTTATTTAAAAGTTTTCATTTCATACTGAAAAACTATAAAATAATATTATTATTTATACAACTGTCGAAGTGACATTAATTTTTTCACAGTAAACCTTGAATCAAATATAGATAAATACTTAGTCATACCATTATGAACTTAATAACTTTTTGTATTGGCTTAAACATGTCATATTTTCAATATCAGTATTTTTTTTTGTTTTTCAAATAATAGTGTACATTTCATCATTTCATTTACAATTTTAAAGCACCCAAACGTCCATTACATTTCTAGGTAAAAAAATAGTTGTGATTTTCCACCATATATACAACGAGACTTCACGAAACTACTATATAATATATTATGTAACAATATAAATAATACCACTTTAGGGGGGGGGGGTTCTGGATATTTTAAGTATATATGTGTGTAGTTTACCTAATAACGGTTAAACGCAACCAAACGTTTAAGTAGAGTCGTTAAAAGGGGTTGTCAGTCTATCCGAAACAAATCGGCGGAGGCGGCCGCGGACGAGACTACTTGTTTGTAAAACTAGCGGCTACTTTTTACTTACTCCACAGATAATAATAATCATTATTATTTAGGACGCGTCACCCAATCGTAGTCATTATGTGCGGTCTATATTATGTGCCGTGTCATGGTCGTGTAATATTGTGTGAGTATTAGCGCGTGCTCCGAAGATCCGCAGCTCCTGTGTTGGTTTTTTTATTTTACAGTGACCGGTAGGAGTGTGTGTTAGCTCGCACGTGCTTTGCTCGTTAAACACTTGATCAGCAGCTCCGAATACTCGGTGGGTGGCTGTATGAACTCATCAATGTGTGCGTTATTACAGCGATAGTCTTGGGCGACCGGCGAAGACTAGGTGATTTCTTTTTTCACTTGTTAATATCAGTCTAAACCTACGCACATTTGAACAGAGCTCACCTGTCGACTCGATTACTGTCATTATTATTATAATTTCGAGTTGTATTGACAAGTCGCTATGAACGCACGAAGTCTTCAAGTGCTGTTTTTCACTTCACGGCCAAACTGAAAGGGACCAAATGTGCCGCGTGCACTACATCGTGTCATTTCTAATCAATGGTTAATGGTATTTGTTTTACGGAAATGTGTATTTTTCTTTTGGTTGAACTCTTAACACTGCCGTCATATAAAGAATTTCCATTTTGTCATTGAACACTGTAATGTTTACAATCAGAACTTGTACAATAACCGATTTTTGAGCGCTTTTCGCAAATGGGAAATTGAACAATGGCCTTACTCAATGAGTAAGAGTGACCAAAACTTTCGTATTCACATGCGTAAGGTCGAAATTCAACAAATATTTTTCTCTTCCAAAGTTGAATATTGTCCAGTGAGGGCAATTCATCCTCATTTATATAAGACCAATCAATAATTATCATTGTTGTTGGAAATAACTGAAAAAAAAAATTTGTTATTGTTATCTAAATAAAAATTTATGTGAACATTTTTAACGGCGTGTCATTAATACTTTTAAAATACAAATATTTTAGAAAATCAAGGAAATTAATAAACATTAAGTTTTTAAACCATTTATTAATAAATTATTATTATATACGTAATTTTTGCACATTATGAAATTCTCAACTGAATTTTGAAGATTTCCAATAGTCATTCTAATAATTGTAATTTCCTATTAACTAATAATCATAGGCACGACAATTTTATGATTAATAAATGTTTTGTTACACATAATTAAAAAACTAACCAAACAGCACTATTTATGAGTACCATTATTGGCACGTTGTCATTGTACTACCTCATTTTACGAGGTAATATATTTTATTGATCTGAAATGTATGTTTTATAGCATAAACAAATAGTCCATTTATTATATGATGACCTGGCAGATATTTTAAAAATCTCGTGTTTATCCTCGAATTGATTTTAANTGACCTGGCAGATATTTTAAAAATCTCGTGTTTATCCTCGAATTGATTTTAAGCATTGAATCATGAACGAGTAAACCAAAGTACCTTATTAAAATTAACGTTTCTAAAGACTATTAAAACTCTGTATAAATTAAAAAAAAAATTAATTCAAAATATTCACTGCATAAAAAGTTATTAGTGACGTCAAAATCTATTGGGACCATCTGTGTAGCAATAAAGTTTTGTAAAGATGTTTGTTATGTAAATTGGTTTAGTAAAAATAAATAAATTTAGAACTCTAGACTTACATATAGTTACGTGTATTCATAAATTAGTACATTTTATAAATTAAATATATTTTTGCATTAAATCTCTAGTATAGTTTTTACTGAATATTTTCAAAAGCCCAAATGTCTAGGTAGTCTTGTTAAAACCTTTCTTATACTTAGGTTTCTCTTTAGATTTTCAGAAACATCATATTAATTGAAAGATAATTATCTCAAGTATAATCTATAAAAATTACATTTGGATCAGCGATTTTTAAAATCGCTACATCAATTTTAAAATGTAGGAAAAATTGTTTGAAATTGTCATTTTTCATGGTACTGTAATTCATAGATACTTTTTAACATTTTAAGATTAAGATTTTTTTTTTTTAAATATCGGCACTGTCTTGCACTAAATGTTTAATTTCGGGTACTTTTGACATATTGGTTATTAATATCGGTATAGTAAGAGCTGAGAATTATCATGGATAGACATATTATAAATATTAGAATTTCAAAATAATATAGATACGAGGTAAACCGCGGCTATTTTTATTATTTCATATTTCTCAGACACACTCCAATGTATAAACATATTAATATCAATTATTTAATACTAAAAATATTTTTAAGAAAAGTGAAACCCTCAAAAGTAAAATGAGGCATCCCAATTTTTTTTTAAATATTAAATATTAAATAATTTCCGATAGTTTGTGCTAGAAAAATACTATTGAACTGTAAAATTAAAATATTGAAACTGTTATTTGATATTTTAAACTATTTCAAATTGTTCATTGACAAATAGCGGATTATAAAGAAGAGTAGTACAGCTATCAATATGTTGAATAATTATAAATTAATATATGTAATACGAGTAGAAACGTACTTATGCAAAATAAAAACATTTAACCTCCATTGATTTTCAACATTATAAAAAAAAAAAAA